ATGATGGGCAACAATGGCCCCATCCCATCCCATCCCATCCCATCCCATCCCATCCCATCCCATCCCATCCCATCCCATCCCATGGGCTGGGCACACTCATCCCAAGCACACCAGGGATGCATGAAGGGACATGACAGCAGCATCAAGTGACCCCAGCCCTGTCACTGATGTTACCACCGTGTCCCTTCCTGCCAAGGCTGGGCAGGCATGAGGGAAAGGGCTGCTCTACTCAAGCGCAGCAATTTTTCCAAACCTGCTGCTTGTGTTGTGGCATTTCTGGCCACTTTGAGGGCTGAGTCTGGGGATGCCCGAGCCTGGCTCTCACCTGGTACGCAGGTTTTGCAACTCAACCCATCCTACTGGGGATCACAAAGTGCTCTGAAGAACACCAGCACCGGTCTTGTAGGATTTTCTCTTTTGCTTTCTTTAACACATGCCTAATGTAAATCCCTCATTTTCGTGTCTGTATGTGTTGACTTGAGAGGGAGTAGTCCCTTTTCATTGCTGCAATTTACTATCGGTGGCAGTTATTTAGCTTTGGTTTTACCCCGTTTTGTGGCAATAGTTCAGTCTTGGAGAAGGCATATGGAGAGGTCAGAAGGGATCAGAGAATTACATTTTTCTCTATCAGGTTTCCTGGGCATTGAATAGAGCACCCACTCAGGCGATTTTATCATCTCACCACAGGACAAGCAGGTGACATTACACACAGCCCACCCGCGGCCCAGAAAGGGCTCAAGGGGAACATCCACCCTCCGCTCCTCACCAGGGACTGTCTGTGCCAAGGTCCCCCCAGGAGCCGTCAGAATGAGAGGAGAGCAGCAGCTGGAGGCAGAGGACCGAGGACACTTGTGACCTCACCCTGCAAGCCCCTAATTTGGGGAGTCTCTACTGTAGAATTGGCCAGAGGATGAAAGGCTCCTGGCGACCAAACCGCCTTCTTTGCAGCAAACCCATGGGCAGGGCCAAAAGCCAGGGAATTGGATCCTCTCCCCAGCCCCAGAGTCACACACGCAGCCACAACGTTGTGGAAATGAGTTTATTGACACGGACGGCAGGTAAAGCCTGAAGAGCAACACAGCTACGTGGCAAACACTCGAACGAGCGGCGCGGCGGGAGAGGAGGGCGAAACACCACCGACCGAGCCCAGGCTCTGCCCTGCGGTGTGGGGACGCCTCTGCGCCAAAAAAGCTCGGAAGAAATTTTGCAAGAGAAGGGGGTGCTCAGCAACCCCTCCCCGCGTTGAAGTTACACCAGCTGTTCAGTGGAGGAGACTTCAGCGTTTGTTCCTGACCCTCTGCCATCTCCTCCCTGCCCCGACAGCATCATGCTCAGCGCCACCAGTGCTTCCTTAACTGCTCTTTTCATGACTTGTGCAGCGCACCCGCGGGGCTCGGAGCAAATCACCTCCCAGCAGCACACGCGGGCAGGGCTCAGGGGCTGGATCGCTCCAGCTCTGTCCCACTTCTTCCCCAGCCAGAGCCTGGGGGTTCCTACACAGTGACACCACCCTCCTTGGGGTCCCGCAGCTCCTGTGCTCTGCCAGTCTCCTCCAGGGCACTGTGACCTTGTCCCAGCACTGACTTCTTGGTCGCAGCCAGTGCCAAAGCCCTGATGATCCACGTCCCACCGCAAAACACTGACTGACTTTGAATGTGGCATCTAAAAAGACAACATGGGGGTTTCTACGCGCAAGAGCTCTGCTCGCTGGGGAGGAGATGGCATCAAAGCATGCTGGGGAGGGCGAAGCTGTTCCG